CTGTCAGCAGTTCCTCAATGATCCTCTCTGTGTTTTCTGTTTTCTCCCCCTGTTCTGGAATTCCAATCACTTGCAGATTTTTGCTTTTGATTGTGTCCCACAGAACTCTCGGGGTCTCTTCATTTTTCTTTGTTCTTTTTTCTGAGTTTTCCTGAAACAGAGTTGTATCCAAGTCTTTGTCTTCAATTCCACTGATCCTGTCTTCCATGGTTTCAGATCTCCTTCTCAGCACTTCTGCGACATCGTCCGTTTCTGAAATCTTGTTGTTTATCTTCTGGATTTCTAATTGTTGTCTTTCTGTAATTTTTAGTTGTGAATTTATTTTGGCATTATGTTCCTGCATTATTTTCCTGAATTCTTCAAATTTTTTGTCTGTATTTTCCATGAATTTGTCTATTTTTTCCTCATGTTTTTCACCTTTTTGCCTCAGTTCTTGGAGAATTCTGAGTATTAGAGATTTGAATTCCCTATCAGGTAGTTCTAGTGCATTTTCTTCCAGAGGAGAGTCATCTGGTGTTTCTATTTTGGACGCCTACTAGAACCATCCTGTCCTGTTTTTGTAAATGTTTTGTTATTGGCTGCTGTCTTCGGGGCATTGAGTAGTTATTTTTCTCATTTCTTGATTGTAGGTTTGTTTGTTTCGTCCCTTTTTTTGAAAAAAATTTAACTATGTCTTAGCAGGCAGACTGTATGTTCTTTGTTGTTGCTCATCTGTGGGCACAATACTTCTAGCCTCCTTCTGCAACTGGCAGCGTCATTCGCTCAGATATGGTACGGCAGGGCAGGTCTAGCTGAAGAGGAGTTACTGGGACGGGTTGTTTGTGGCACTTACTACAGCCATCAGAGTGGGTTGATAATCAGTGCAGGGCAGGTTCCAGTAGGCCGTGCCTGTGCTGCTTGGTGGTGTGATGTCAAGCGCACGGTGCAGGTAGGCAGGATGCAGTGGGGAGATTGTTATATGTGGAGGTAAGATGGATATGGGAGAGAGGAAAGAGGAACAGGAGCCAAAAACATACAAACAAACAAAAAAGAATGCTAGGGGAGCTTGCTGTTGGAGTGGAGAGATAAGAGACTATGAAATGGAGAAAAACAGAAGGGGAGAAGGAAGAAAAGAAAAGAATGAATGAATAAGAATCAGAAAGGTCAAAGAACCGCAGAGTTCCCTGGGATCCCACCGGTGCAACTATGAGGTCTGGGGAAGTTGCTCTCAGGTGTTGCAGTACAGCCTGGCTAGAAGGCGTAGAGATATACAACGCCAGGTATTCAGGGAACAGAAAGAGAAGGAAGATATAGAGAGCTGAGAAACTGAGGAATGAGGAAAGACAAAAAGAGAAAAAGAAAACAAAACAAATTAAAAAAAAAAAAAACAAAATATAAGAAAGGCCCCTAAATAAACAGAAAAAAGAAAAAAAAAAACCAATGAGAAAAGAAATGCTCTCAGGGATGCCTCTGCACATCTGTGGCAGTTGAAGGGGAGTCTCCCTGCCACGCAGCTCAGCCTGGCCAGAAAGGGCTCCCAACTCAAGAAAAGGAAAAGAAAACAAACAGACAATTCAAAACAAAGAAATGAACAAAAGACCCGGGATCCCACCAGCATGGCAGCCCTAACCGGGAAGCAGCTCCACACGCGAACGGAGCTCCGCAGCCCCTCAGGAAGAAGCAAAGATGGTGCACAGAGCCAGGCACTCGAGTGAAGGGAGGGGGAGGCGGTGAGAGGCAAGTAAGAAGTCAAAAGAAGCAGAAGAAAAAAAAAAAGCAACACTAGCAGCCAACAAATGGCACTCAGAGAGCCAGCTAGTGCGGGCTGGTGCCCCTGGACGAGAGACTGTGTCCGTGGTAAGTAGAGAGGGCCGAGTGTGGGTGAAGAAGGGTAGAGAGCAGGAAAGCGTACATCACAAACCAACGGAGCTCTGCAGCCCCTCAGGAAGAAGCAAAGATGGCGCATGGAGCGAGGTACTTGAGCTAAAGGAGAGAGAAGTGGGGAGAGGCAAGGAAGAAATAAAAAGAAGTGGAAAGAAAGCAACACCAGCGGCCCACAAATGGCACTCAGACAGCCACCCATTCGGGTGTGTGGAATCCAAGCAGCCACTGTTTCCTTGTCAAGAGACTGTGGCCACAGGAAGCAGAGGAGGCGGAGTTGGGGTGAAGAAGGGTGAGGGGTGGGAAAGCATATATCACCAATTACCAGTTGTTTTGTCTCCCGCTGGAAGCTCCGTGAGGGTGCTTTCTCGTACCCCGTTTGCTTGTCTCCGATAGGAGTCCAAGATGGCAGATCCGCGCTGCGTTAGCTGGTAGGGGACCTCTGCATGAATCTCTCCTCGCTCTCCGTTCTCTGTCAGTTTTCTCACTGCATTTGGTGCTTGGCTGAGTTCTTTATCTCTTCATTTGATGTTTTAGGGTTTCAGGATTGTTGTATTCTCTGTTCGGCTTAGTTTTTCGGAT